CCCTCTAATGCAAGGAAAATCTCTGAAATGCTCCCCCAGAAATGTGAAGTACCCAACACACAGCAAACAGTCTCTCGAGCAGTGGTGGTTCTTAACCTGTGGATAGAGGCCCCTTTTGGTCAAACAACCCTTTCCCAGGGGTCACCTAAGAGCATTGGAAAACACAGATATTAGGGGAAGAGGATGACCTAAATCCTAACCCTGGGGAGACTGGAGGTACTGGGTGGGACTGAAGGAGTTAAAATGCAATGGAAGACAATTATTGTATTAGCATAACAAAGGTTGAACTAGAGCAAGAAAACCTGCAGATTCCTTGATATTGAAATGGAGAACATGATTTTGAAAGTTAATGGTTGGTTTTGGAAGGTGGCGTTGGTGATATGTGTGTACACGTGTGCACTTGTTTCTGTGGTTGTCTGCAAGACACGGAGCAGGTCCATTGTCTGCAGCTCATGTTGCGAGGGAGATTCTTCAGGAACCTGAAGTTCAAAGTCCCTCTGAAATCCCATATAGGATATAGTTCATTGAGCTCTTACTTTGTGTCTAGCAATGTCTTCCCATGGCCCAGGAGCTCCCAGACCCAAGTGAGAGGATTTGATAAAGGACCAGATGTTCTTCTGAGTAAGGTGGGCACAAATATTTGTCAATTTCTGCTTCTTACCTGTGAGTTGAATGTGACCAGCCACCTCAGATTCCTGCTGTCGTGGTGAATCCCTGTTACTATCAGCCAAATTAACCCCTTTTTCCTTAACTTGCTTCTTGTCAGTTATGTTGCTACAGCAACAAAGACAGGGAACTAATAAGACAGCTAATAGCATAGTAAGAGATGGGAGACCAGCTGATCATTCTAATAAAGATAAATAATATTGCAACGTGGAAAGGAAAGCTAATTATAGAAAAGTTCTCTTTCCTCCCGTAAACATCTTACCAAGAAATCTAATCTTAGGAGTTTTGATTTTCTTTATTCCATTTTTTTTTCTGATTATTTTTACCTGACTTTTTCATTTTTTAAACATCTATCAGGGGACTAAAGAGATGGCTCAGTGGTTAAGAGCGCTAGCTGGTCTTCTAGAGGTTCTGAGTCCAGTTTCCAACAACAACATGGTGACTCACAACTATCTGTGGATGAGATCTGGTGCCCTCTTCTGGCCTGCAGGGATATATACAAGCAGAGCACTGTATACATAATAAATAAATAAATAAATCTTTATAAAAAATTTACCAGGTTATGGGGCTTTCTCAAGGTAAGTTAGTTTTGCAGAGGTGGAAGGAGAAGATGCTGTTCTGCTCAGAGGAATAACACAGTCCAGGCCCCTGCTGTCTTTTCATCTATAGGGGCCAAAAATTCTCTTTCTTCTGTGGAGGATCAAGATTTGAGACCTAGAAGTTGATTGACTGTGGACATATGAATGGGAGAGAAACGTACTGAGCTGTTTTGTATATTGGGCATCATTGGAGGATAAATACCAAAATTACAGTGGAATCTAGAAGCTTCCATACCGTCTTCTTGGGGAAGGGGAATGAGAGCTGCAGCCAGCTTAGAGGAAGAATTAGTAACTTTTAGAAGAAGAATGGGCCTTAAACACTGAGGACAGCAGGGGACCAATGTCATCAGGGCCCTGGGTGTTGCTTGACTTCATGGTCATCCTCCGTGGAGTGAGGTTTTTTCCCCTTTGTTAGGGCAAGTTAAGAAGGACATGGTCATTTTTGTTGGATCTGGGGTTCAGGTGATAATGTAGTTTTAGAGAAAACCTTCTGAATGTTACCTAATGTAAGTCCAAGGGACAGATATCGGGTACCATTTCTGAGCGTCCACACTTCCTCATACTCTCAATGCACATTCTCCCCCCGACCTTTCTCTCTCTCTTTTTATTTTTTATTTTTTTTAAAAGAGAAATCTCTTGGGGCTTATGAGATTTGTTCTTTTTGTTCCTGTCTTTACATCAAAATTGGCTGTGTACAATATAATCCTATGACTCACTTGGAAAAATACAAAGGAAGGCAGGTGATTTTCTCTTTCTTCCTTCTCTTTTTTCTATTTCTTTGTTTCTTCCCTTCTTCCTCCCTCCCTCCCTTCCTCCCTCCCTTCCTCCCTCCCTCCCTCTCTCTCTCTCTCTCTTGGATAAAGCTAAAGCAGGGAGGAGCACCCAGGATGAGACCACCCAGGGTTCTGTGCATTCATACTTGGCAACACCTGAGTATCTGTGGTCTCCTTCCTCCTAGCCAGTTGGACCCCAATCCACCCTTCTCAGCTCTTCTACACCAGCCTACTTCTGAATCTCTTACACACCAGCCATTCTGCCTCCTGAAAATGCCTGGGTTTCCAGGCTCAACTATGCCTCCTTACCCAAAGGAGCTACCTCTTTCCCTTGCCCTTCCCCCAATCTCGTGGAGCCCTACCCTGTCCTGAAAGCATTGCTACAATTCCATCTCTGTTACACAGCCATTCTCGCTCACCTCTCACCTGGAAGGCACCTGGTGTCCTCATGAGACGCTGATCTCATTCATGTACTTGACAAGTATGTGTAGAGCACTAGAATTTACTAAATAAATACAGTGCTAGGTGGGAGGAATACAGCGATGATGGAGACGCCATGAATAACCCTTCTGTCCTGTGGCCTGGCTATAGGTTCATTGCAGGTCCTAACTGGGTCGAACAGTGCTTTGTAATCCCAGCAAGAGAGTCAGTATTCATAGAATATTTTGGTCTGGAGGACTGATGGATACAAGCTTTATTTTTTTTTTTTTCATGCTGATTTTGAATCCAAACCATAAGTGATCCTGCTAAATAACCAAGGCTGCATGTGGAAAGAAGAGGGAAACATTTAGTTCCTATTATAAGTACCACATGATTGTTTTCTCCATCAAATTTCGAATTCTGCTTTTACCAAACGTATCTCAGGGAAACACCCTAGGGCCCAAAGGAGACAGCAGTTGTAAACAGCTTCACTTCCAGTTGGGAGACAGTGCTGAATTCCTATCTGTGAAATCCCAGCTCTCCTTGCCCTCTAAGGGGATATGAGCTAGGTCTTGAGTGCATCTGTGTGTTTAGCCCCTAGCACTGGCCTAGCAGTGAGCTCAGCCCACAAACCACCAGGCAAGGAGTTGAAAACAAGATAGACAGCCTTGGAGCAAAAGGAACAGCATTGCTCAAGGGCCTGGAATCTCCATCCCCCAAAGCCAACTGCTGGTTAGCCACATCACTTCATTAGTGACCTTGTTCTTTGGTACACAGATTCTTCCCCGTACACTGTGTCTTTTTCTTCTCCTCCCCACCAACATGGGTTCACGCTAAAAGATGACAAACAGCACATGTAACTGGTATTTTCCTAAGGTTTAGGAGATGGCTATGGTTCCCGATGACTTAAATGAAAAACAAATGACATCAGCTGCTTCCTTCTCATAGGCAATACCATTTTAAAAGAACTCTGAGGTTTTGTTTATAAAAATATACCGACGATTATGTAACAAGTGAGACTTCTGTTTTTACCGATTTTCGTTTCAGTTCATGGAGATTCAAAAAATGTCAGCCCTCATTTGATTGGATTTAAGGCCCCCACCATGAGCTAGAACTCATTCCTGACACTGTTCATGTGGCCAAGAACATGAGACTCAATAGGCCGTAGGCCCAGGGGATAATCAAATACGACTGTTATGATAAAAGAACATGGCAATAAAACGACCCCTGATGACATCCTTTATACCCATAAATCAGCGTCTAGCTCAGCTACCACAAGAGAAGTTTTCTCCCACAGCAGACGGGAACCTGAGACAGAAACCCACAGCTGTACACTGTGCAGAATGAAAGGCTTTAGAACATTCAGTCCTAAACAGGATGCCTTCATCAAACCCTCCCCTCAGAGCTCAGCGAACTCTGCAGAAGAGAAGGTAGGACGATTGGAAAAGCCAAAGGGCATGAAGTATCCTCCGAGGAAGCAGTGTCCCCCGGACATGACAGGAAGGACACACGTGTGAACTCACAGAGACCGTGACAGTGTGCACAGGGGCCACGTAGGTCCAATCCAGATGGGGTCCAGCCCTGAGGAGCGGAAATAGACACAGGTTCCCATCGCTACCGAGAAGCTATCTCCAACTGACAACTGCTCACGAAAGAATAACTAGTTTTCTTCCCAGGAGGCTCACTGGGTGTGCAAACCACACTTACACACTCAAGGCAGGCCCCATGCCCAGAAGTAGAAGGCTAACACAAAACTAATTCAATGATATTTGGGGGGAATTTTTTTAAAATCTTATTGGCCTTTTGCTTGTATATTATGGTTTCTGACTGTTTAAGTTTTGTTTTATTGGGTGTGTGTGTATTTTAATTTCGAATGGTTTATTTTATTTGTCTGACTGTTTGTTTATTGTTTATCTGTCTGAAGAGAGAGAAAAAGGCATGGAATTGGATGGGTGGAAGGTAGAGAGGATCTGGGAAGATATGGGGAGGAAATGGTGAACAGAATACACTGTATGCAAAAATTTTATTATCGATTTAAAAAAAAAAACAGTCAACTCACTCCCCTCAAAAAATTTCAACCTTTAAACTTTCACACTTGCTTGAGTAGCGAGGTACTGAGATCTACGGGAAGAAGACAACATATGGAGGACGCATTTGCTGCCTTAGATTAGTACTGACCACAGGATTTCGGGGGACCCTGTGATATCAACCCGTGAGTCACATGACAGTAGGTAAGAAACTGCATATTCTCCCAGGGCTCACTGTGCCCTTTAACACCTAAGCTGGGGGAAGCGCTGCCCCCCCACACACACCTCTTGCTCACACTTGGTTGGCATGCCAGTGGTTTCTGGAGAAGCATTTGCGTGACGAACAGTAAAAGACTGTCTTGGAGCTATGCTGAGCCTGTCTGAGGAGCCATTATTGGAGTTCTGTTAGCCTGTGGTGGATTTGAGTAAGAACAGCTCTGTGGCTATCATAATCCGGTCTGTAGGCATGTGGGGGAGGAGCGTGCTCAATAGGTCCATGTCTTGTCTTCCCACAGTGAGGCTGATGATGGCTGTGCTGTGATTGGATGTCGGTGTCCTCCACATCCCTCCTGCCCTGCCCTGTTCATACAGAAACCCCCATCACCAAGGTAAGATTTGGAGGTTAAGTCTTTGAGAGTATTAAGTTTAGATGAAACCACTAACGTGTTCTACATACACACACACACACACACACACACACACACACACACACACACACACCGCACTCCATGCACTGTAGGACTAGTGACCTTATAAGAAGAGAAAGAGAGAGATTAGAGTTCTTGCTTTCTCTGCCATGGAGGAACAGAGAGGATGGCCATCTACAAACCAGGGAGGGAACCTGCACCAAGAACCAGACATGTTGGTGTCTTGTTCTTATACTTCTCAGGTTTCCAAAAGTGTGAGACACAGATGTCTGTTGTTTAAGTTGTCCAGCCTGGGGCATCTGGCTACAGGAACCTGATGTGACTGTTCTTCATGAGAAGAAAAACGCTCAAGCTTGGCTCTTTGAAACCCAGAAACACCCTTTCTCTTACTCACCTAAAATTTCTATCAATTAGCAGGGCAGGAGTGGCACATGCCTTTAATCCCAGCACTCCGGAGGCAGAGGCAGGTGAATCTCTGAGAATTTGAGGCCAGCCTGGTCTATAGAGTGACTTTAAAGTTACAGAGAAACTCTGTCTCAAACCCACCCTCTCCCCCAAAAATCTAACAACCGGTATTTTTATACACATTTCTCTTTCACCTGTCTAGTCTTATCTCCTGCTCCTGACCGCCTTCCCCATATCAGTATCACTGTCTAGGTAGATCCAGCTACACACACATTGAGACTCAGCTCAGGCAGGCTCTCCTCCCTGTGTCCTTTTCTGAAAGCATTCTTCCTCTTACCTCCAGCTCAGATCTGGGATCTCCCATCCTCTAAACACTCACTACACATCTGAGCAGGTCTGAAAATGAAAGCATCATGCCAAACGGTCCCCAGACCTTGAGCTGGAAACTAATGGCTGTAGCAGGTACAAAAACAAGAGGCTGAAAACCTGTGGCAGTTATTTTCCACTCCACTCTCTGCCCTCCAGCCATGGTGCTACCTTCTTTGTGGTAGGAAGACCACAGCAAATCTCCAAGATGTGAGATGGCCATTTATGTGTGAAGCCATGTGCTGACAGGAGGACTGAGGACACGGTGTCCTCACCCTGGGTCACACCACTCTCTACCCTGGGGTTTAGCTACCCCATAATTTCCTAGCAAACTCCTATTTTGGATTATCTAAAGGTTACATGAAATTCATTTCTAATGAAAATGTAAGAACTCTGTAAGAAGCCAAGTTGGGGAGACTGCTTTACCTTAGGGGAAGAGTGGCCAACTCAGAAAATCTGCCAAGTTTTGAACTGGAGTGATGGGTTTCTGTGGCTCCCCGACCAGTACGGATACTTGTAATAAGAATAACAGAGGAAAAGAGTCCAGCCTCAGAAGAATTTTCCCTCTACTCAGCTGAAAATTAAACCAGACAGGCAATTACCAGGGTTTTGCCATAATATATACTACGCGGGCACCGCACTGATGGCACGTTCCATGTTGCGTGGTTAATACTCTGAACTTTGCATCTAATTATCTTGTTAGGTCTGATATTTTCATGTGGTGAATGCCTGTAGCTGAAAGTCAAGTGAGAGAGAGGCATGGGCGGGCAAGGAAAGCACAGGTCCAGTAAAGCAAGGCCTGTTACAAGTATGACCACCATGGCAGTGGACCACAGTGAGGGTGGGGACAGTGTGCCCTCGGAGACTGAAGATGTGCTCTAGCGGCGGGGCTGAGGAGCACTGGCTTTAACACCATAGCGACTGCTCTCTAACTCGTTTTGTTCCTCACGCAACCATCCTGCCACAATTATACCTCTTGGCTCTTTCTTCATCTTTATGATTTGAGGGCATTCTGAGTGCTTTTATAGTGCTCTCTGCATTTAACGAGAGAGGGAGAGGAAGAGAGAGAGAAAGAGAGTATGTAAAAATGCAGTTCTTCGTATTTTAATTTTTTTAAAGTTCCTAGAGAAAATTCTAATGTTCTAAAACATTCTGACTTCATTAGCAAGAAAGGAAACAGTTCTGTGAATGCTGAACATGAACTCAGGTCCATTTCAATGGCTTATTCAAGTGACTTTCTGCTGTGAGCCTCTGGATGCTCTTAGGGTGTTGATTTCCTTTACCGGGAACTGAATTAAATCCTATCTTAATCATGTTGAACATGATAGATTAGGTAAACCAGGCTGCTGTTCAATTTTTTGCTTTTGTTTTACTTTCTAGCATCTGGTCCATGTTTGCACTCTTCCCACCCCACTTTCTCCACACCCTCCAGTTCTCTGTCTGATGTTTTGTTTCCTTAGGTTCATTTCCTACTTTTTCTAATGTCCTTATTTCTCCATTGGAATGAATATAAAACTTTCACCATGGCGATGCCTGGAATTTTCCATCCCGGCATTTGATTCCACTGCTCCACTGAGGAGGTCTGTGGACACAATTTGACGCAATCATATTCTAAATAGTAGAATTTCTAGAGAGAAGATTTGTATTGTTTTCTCCAGAGTGGTGGACAGGCATGTGGACATTCAGACTGAAGAGCCAAAGTGCCACTTACTTGAACAGTAGCTTATAATGTATATTGTTGTCTATCATATAATTATATATCTGACTATGTGTTTTGAAAAAGTCAGCATGTATATCACAGTTGTGTTCTGCCCTCCCCAAAAGTTGAGCTATCAGAGACCTTTAGGAAGGTGTACTCTTTGTATGGCCACTCAGTATCATAAGTGAGTTAAACTTGGGGTATAGGACTAATCATCTCTGCCCTCTTATTATTTCTGCCCTGTATCTTACTGTCTAGTTCACAATGAGGCTTTAAGGTTCATATTGAATCAAGCAATAAGAGTATATCCATAATTGAAATGAAATATGCAGCTGCCATTAGGATGGACATCTCGGGGCTGTGTTCCTTACTGGCATTTTGGCAACAACCTGTGTGACTGGAGACAACACACTCGGGTTTTGATGAGTTGTGCTAAAGCAAGAATGGCAAGACGTGAGAGTAGAGAAGGATTTACAGCCTGCGGCAGGTAAGGACAGCATCAGAGTCATCTCCAAAGCGATGCCTTCAGTGAAGAAAGTATGGAATTTTATTTAGGAGTCTGTGTACCTTCACATGAGAGAGCTCCTTAGTGCTAGGCATATTACTAAACATGCTTAGTTAAGGAGTACATTCCTGATGATGCTCAGCTTAAGGCTAACATTTAAGAAACAAACTGTGAAGCCTGTTTTAATTCAAGGTCACAGAGTACATCCTTAAAAGATAAGAAAGATGAGCAGAAATATCTCTGGGTATGTTCAGTTTGTATCATACAATTTGAGCTGAAAGTAAAGAAAAGGACACTTTGAAGGTGATGGTGGATTATCCCTAAAGGTGCCTAGCAACTTACCTAGCAACTAACACTCAGGGAACATCAATTAACAGTACTATTTGCTATTCTCTTGGTGGCCACATGGAGGGCTCTACAATAGCAGGTCAAGAAATATTTGATGAATCAAAAAAATTAAAACAAAAAGCCATTGAAAGAAGTTTCTGGAGAGCAATTCTTTGCTTTGCAGATCTGGAATGTGTCAATCAGTTATAGGGCCCTGGATGTGTTCTTAAGAACCAAAACTTGATTTCAAGAGAGCATAGTCCCAAAGCTATGCAGTGCCTCAGAGAATTCCTTACGATCCAAAAGTAAATTGATAGAGAACTTGGGTACTTGATTCTGGTTCTTCATTTCTTTATCACTTACCGTAATCGGTGAAGAATTCATTTACTGTGTTGTCTTAGCAAACAGAACTTTTATATTCATACTTTGTCATATGAGGTTGAGAAAACCAGCTCAGCTCACAGCAGTTTCTATGAGCAGTACCACTGAAGAGGTTGACCAGATGGCTGTGAGGGTGCCAATTTTCTTGAGCCCAAAATAAATGCATTCTTGGGTATGAAGCAAGTTCTAGATGGGAGCCACCTGCTGCATTACTCTACCATCTTCTGTGCGTACAGTATAATGGTTTTGAATTCCATAGGCTGAATTGTTGAAGCAGGCACTGGCCTCCGGGGTAGTTGGGAGAGCCTGTCTGTGCTCAGACATCCATAGAACGCTGTGTTGGGGTCAAATTCAAATAGGTGGTATAATAGAGGGGTCACTTCTGTATAGCATTGCAACCAAAGTGATCCTCAGGTCACAAATAAGCCACTGCTCCATGTGGGCTATTTGATTTTTTTTTTTCAGCAGTTCCCTCTGTTGAATAGGAAGAACATGAAATTTAGAGAGCCAGAATGGTCTAGAAAATACAAAAACCAAAACCTAATACCAATGTTTACTGACAATAGGAAGCTACTTACTTTTGGGGGTGGGGGACGGACAGGGTTTTACCATGTAGCTCTGACTGTCCCGGGACCCACTATGTAGAACAAGCTGGTCTCTAATTCACAGAGATCTGTCTCTCTCTGCCTCCAGAGGGCTGGGATTAAATGTGTGTGCCCCACAGCTGGCTACTACTTAACTTCTTGGAACTTCATTTCATCTCGTCTCATCATTAGACGGGAGGCAGAGGCAGGCGGATCTCTCTGAGTTCGAGGCCAGCCTGGTTTACAAGAGCTAGTTCCAGGACAGGAACCAAAAAGTTACAGAGAAACCCTGTCTCGAAAAAAAAAAAGTTACACTTACCTTGTGAACAGTTCCTATTTTAGATTTAAAAAAAAATGGGGTTTACTAATTCATATCACTTAGCAAACACCAAACAAAATCCCTTTTTCTTCATCGTGTTTTCTAATTTTGTTATTTTTATCTTTCTTTTTCTTCTCTCTTATATTTTGTCTCTACAACTAGGGAAACTACTCCAGCATAAAATGATCCTGTTAAAAGTGAGCTGTTTCTGAAGAGTGTACTGTTGCGTGGGGAGTCTATGATCCTGTTTTCCATTTCTACTGCATCTCTCTGTGGCTCAAAACAAGGCAGGTGTGTCCACAGAGAGTGGGAATTCCAAAAGTACGGACACTAGACAAGACTCGCCCTAAAGCTTCCCCCCCCCCCCCCCCCCCCCCCCCCCCTACTTAGGCGGGAGAAGTAGATTGAAGCCATATTAAGGTGTTTAGCTGTTAACTAAAAGTTTATAGGTTTGAATCCTATCAATCTAGAAGAGGATTTAG